ATACATGCATACATGCATACTTGCATGCATACATGCATACATAAACCCCGAACAATCGTATATACTTATCACATAAACGACTTTTGAACTTTGCCATTGTCTCATCCGACCCACGACCACCATGCCAACCGAGGCTGCGGCATCTGGCGAGTTGAACCTCTCCCACCACACATTGTGAGGCAATCCCCCAGACAGCTCAAGGTAGACCATCACGTGGTCACCTGGCAGAAAGGCATGCCTGAGAAAGCGCCCTCGCCCAGGGGCGACTATTGAACAGGTGCCCCCAACCCTAAAACCAAAACCCTAAACACTAAACCCTCAACCCTAAAACCTGTTGCTATTGCTACAATTGATATTGCTACCAACATTACTACCATCATCATTGTCCGTCTAGCTTACAATATATGGGTAGTTCTCTAAATTAGGGTCCCTTTTACGGGCCTTTTAATAAGGGCCGTACTATACTATTGGGGACCCCAAAAGGAACCGTAATTTAGCACCGGTTCTCACATAATCCCTATACCATAAACCCGAAAACCCCGAGACCCGAAACCCAAAACCCTCATGGAGTAATCTAGGGGACTAAGTCATTACCAATACTATTTTGGGGGGGGCTACTTACCCTTATTGTATCCCTTTTTCGGCGACCACTAAACCCTAAACCCCCAACCCCGTTAAAGGAACCCTATCAAACCCTTTTCTAATTATCCAGGCCCCTAGATACCCTAAACCCTAAACCCTAAACCCAAATCCCTAAACCCTAAACCCTAAGCCCCATTCGATTTCCCTGGGCCCCTAGATTAATCCCTTTAAGGAACCCTTTTCGAATTATCCAGGCCCCTTTTTTTTAATCGCAGCTTGCCTTGGAAAAGCTGCTCCGAGGTTCCCGTGGCCCAATACTTCCCTGAGCCTGGCTGCAACTCGTCAGGAAGGGGCCGGTCGCTTCGGATTTAGGGAATAGGGTTTTAGGGTTTTGGGTTTAGGGCTTTAGGGCTTTAGGGGTTTAGGGTTTAGGGTTTAGGGGTTTCTAGGGTCGGGGTTCTGGGGTCTCAAGCTTTCGGGTCGAGGGTCACCAGGATTTTCGGGATTTTTAGAGGGGGGTTTTAGCATTTGGCGTTTGAGGATTGAGGTCCCGACGAAGCATGCCGTGACCCCAAACGCCTAAACCCTTAACCCTAAACCCTAAAGGAACCCTTGCAGGAACACTGCCACGACCAGAAAACTGCAGGGCAACAGCTTTTGCCTGCATCGTCCGGGCCACAGAGCTTGTACCCGGCCTGGCCAGAGCCGCGCAACATAGGGCCCTAACCATAGGGGTTTAGGGTTTAGGAAGCCCTGGTCTAAGTAGTAGTCGTAGTAGTAGTAGTAGTAGTAGTAGTAGTAGTAGTACCTTAATCATCACTTGGAATAAGGAGCAAATTCAATATACATAAGGACTAGAACTTGAAGGGATATTAGTGCCACCAGGTCGGACCCCTAAAATACTCCGCAGAGGGCCCAGGTATGCACCATAACACAACGCTATAACAGGTTTAGGGTTTAGGGTTTAGGGTTTAGGGTTTACATGGAGCGAAACTCTGTCACGCAAAACAACCCCATAGTTGGGAGCGCGGCGAGGTTGCTCTCTCAAAGATCTGTATCTCAATTTGCGACATGGACGCTTTCGCATGCGCATACGTGACAAAATCTGATCAGTTGGGTGCTGACTCCTTGGACACATGCTAGATGATAACCGTAACATATGGCAATAAGACGAAGAGGAATCAACCAAAAAGCTATGTACGCATGATTACCAAATGAAGGGATAAGCAAAAAAATAAATATCAATATATATATATATATACGCATATAAATATGCATGTATGGGCTTGCCATGTGGCCTGGCTCGCTTCGTCCACATCTGGATGCACTGTGGCCTGGGTCTTCCCGCTGCGCGAATCGATGCATGAATGCTGGCCCTGGTTACATGGATCTGAATGGCAGTAGTGCCTTGAGGCACCGACCAAGAAATTGCAGTTCAAGAGGATCTGAAACTTTTCTGTGCCAGTCTTGCCCACCGTGAATTCCTGCAGTCAGGCAAGTAGGGTTTTTTTTGCAGGCTGGACCTGCGTTCGGCTCCTGTCCTGCTTCAGCACTCGCTTCTGTCCATTCACCTGGTCCTCGAACATTTCCTGAACGCGATGTCTGCAAGGCTGCAGTTAGGGTTAGCCAACGAACACCATGCAACAAACACAACAAACTCTGATCCACGTCATCCTCAACAACAACCACATCATCATCATCATCATCATCATCGTCGTCGTCGTCGTCATCGTCGTCAATGTCATCATCTCCATAATGGTCAACATCATTGGCGTGAGGGCCATCGCCGCCAGGGTGATGATGACCCATAATGAAACAGTTGCTGATGGCCACGACGATGGCGGCGATCATGACGGTGAGAATGATGATGATGGTGGTGATGATGATGATGGTGGTGGTGACCATGAGAATGATGATGATGATGATGGTGATCATGTTCATGATGATGATGATGAGGGTCAAGGTGAAAAGGTGGTGGTGGTGGTGGTGGTGGTGGTGGTGGTGGTGGTGGTGGTGGTGGTGGTGGTGGTGATGGTGGTGATGGTGGTGATGACGATGACGGTGATGATGATGGTGGTGGTGATGATGTTGATGATGCCGATGATGATGATGATGATGATCAGGGTGATGATGAGGGTCAAGGTGATGATGGCGGTGGTGGTGACGATGATGATGGTGGTGGTGACGATGCTGATGATGCCGATGATGCTGCTGCTGATGATGATGATGATGATGATGATGACGATGATGATGGTGGTGGTGATGATGATGACCAAGATGGTCGTCGCCACCGCCAAAGCCATCGCCATCCTCATCCGATCTCCTCATCCTCATCAGGATGGTAAGAACAGCATCAGGAACAGATTTGAAGCTACTTCCAATGGGCGGAAGACGACGCCTTGCACTCGCGAAACTGGTTCCAGGAACCAACCTCGGTCCAGACAGAGGTCTCTCGGCTTAGACCCCTCCGTCTGCACAATCCGGATTGCAAAATGCCAGAAGTCGATGCCTTACGTTACCACCTTAGCCTCAAGGCTGCGGGCTCCAGATGGATCGCAAGGCCTCCTTCCTGCGAGACCGTGGCAAAAAAACACCATGCCGCTGAGATGCCAGGTAGTACTTGTGAGACTTGGACATCTCCTTGTCAAGAAAGGGTTGCTTACTGCAATCAAGGCAAAGATGTTCTAAGGGGTCCCTTATCAAGGGTTCCTGTAGGGGCTTGAGACCACCATGCTTGCAGACTGCTTGCGGTGAACCTGCACTCATCTTTCCTCCCGCTAGGCTTTGTTGGGGCGTTGCACCCCACTGTCACAAGCGAGGATTGGGATGATAGTCATAACCATGTCAGGGCTTCTGCTGAGCTTCCCTTGGGGTCGAAGACTTACGACCCAGGCTCGTGCCAGACCCTTCCACAACGCCACAAACCGTCCTGGAAATCCACAGTCTCGTTTCGCAAGCGCTCCCAACCTAGGCAACCGATCGAAGGCTGCATCACTTTAACATGGGGGCCTGAATAACTGTACTGAATCCTAGAATATAGACGGAAGATACGGCAATACTAGTTCTAGTTATGCCAATTACTCTATCATGACACACTACAAACGGCCGAACGGAGAGCCATCCACTACAGACGAGCCTGCTTTGCTTTCCCAGGTTTTCCCTCAGAGACTGAAGGTCAGACTCCCTAAACCCTAAACCCTAAATCCTACAAGGACAAGACGCCTCGAAGGGCAGCGGCAGGTTCTGGGGGGCCTACCCCTGGCGTGCTGAAAACAAAGGAAAGCCGTACTGATTCCGCTCTGGTCTGCAGAAGCCTTCGGTTCCTGAGGCTGCCGGCTGATGCTCCTTTTGTCCTGCAGCCCACAGTGGCAATATTGAATAGTCACAATCGCAATAGTATAGTCGTAATCAAGAACACCAATATCAATAACAAGATACGAATCAGGCCAATGACGCTTCGATCTCTTCCGCTTGATTTGGGCCCAACCTGGCTCCGTCGAACTTGGCGCATGAATTTGATCTTGAAGACATCCCCAACCTTGGCAGTGGGATACATTATGCCGTTATGTTGATGGTATATGAGGGTGTATCATACTGCATTTGTTAGGAGCCTAAGTGTCGCTAGGAGGCTTGGTGCATCTGATGCTCCCCGCAGGCCCTACAGTCGACCCCGGTATGTTATACTATGACCAAGATGAAGAGGTAGATTATGCAACAATGGACCCCCAAACCCTAAACCCTACACCCTACACCCTACACCCTACGGCCCCATCGCCCGTCTTGGCTCTCGGCTTTTCCCTTCACCACCCAGTTCAAGCCCTGGCCCAGCTCATCGGGACCTCATCGAAGGCACAGGAGGCTTTGAGGTTTACGGTGCAGGGATGTGTAGGGTTTAGGGTTTAGGGTTTAGGGTTTAGGGGGATGTGTAGGGTTTGGGTTGAGGGTTTAGAGTGCGCAAGAACACTCAAGCCGACAACAAACAAACATGGCAACGTGCAGCGGTGCTCACACGCGGTATGCATTTACCTACTCACCTCTGTGCCGACTCTGTGCGTCGCTATAAATACGTACATACATACATACATACATACATACATACATACATACATACATACCTACGTACATGCATACATACATACATACATACATACATACATACATCCATGCATCCATGCATGCAGACACACACACACACCTGTACAGCTAATTTGCATGCAGACTACCGGTGAGGAAGATTCTCTGTTTTCGAGGGCCACTAAGTCTTTTCAGTTTTGCTGATGGACTGCTCAGAACTACACGCAGGTTATACTTCGGCTGTTCTTATTATTATGACTATGACTATGATTGTGAATAACAGTTTTATGGCCAACTTTAGTTGCACCGGTCATTATTACGGCTTGCAATTCAAACAACTCACAACAGTGCCGCACCCCACGAGACTTTGCCGATGAAATGTGCTGCCAGAGGACTACTATAGGTCCTTGGCACTTGCAACAGAGCTTGGGGGTGTACAAAAGCAGACAGGCACAAAGGAACACTGGACCTAAACCCGAAACCCTAAACCCTAACACTATTGAATAGTCACTATTGACGACGAGTAGTGGCAGGCGGTACCCGAGCCACGGAGAGCAGCCTGCCGTAATACCCTGAACCCTAAACCCTACTAATATAGGGGCCTTAACAATTAGAATAGGGTTTTGGGCCCCGGCCCATTATACTATGATTACAAGGCCCCAACCGGATCTGAGGATTCCGTCGAGCATCCGACCCATGTCGTCTTTGGGAATATAATGCCCCTATATTACCCAAGTACCCTAAACACGGCACTCTTCAAGTCGCCCCTGAAGTGCGCTGGCCTTGGATCTCTTGGTCTTTACCTCCCCCAGTCGCCTGCTCCGAGTGCTTGGAGGACGGAGAAAACTTAGCGAGTCCAGGTGGTCTTGACATGATTCCATGAAATGCGCATTACGTATACGCATTACATAGTAGATATATTACAGAAGTTGTAGTGGCTGAGTTATAAAACAGATAGCAGCAAATGCATATTGCGTATGAAATACGCACATATGCTGCGCGTCATGGTACATCCGATATTAGTTGCTGTATTCTGTGATAGCTGTTGCGGGTGCTCTGGAGTGCTTGGCTGATCATGTCTGACCCTTTCAAAGATGGAGGTCGGATTGAACTACATAAGTTCCCAGTCAGGTACACCTTCTCTCCACCGAAGACTCACTGTTTATCTTTGAGAAACAGACACCTGGGCTTCAAGACCCCCGTAAAACACCTAGAATCCCAGACTTCTAGGATACTTCAACCGGTTGCCGGCCTCTGGTGCAGGGTAGAAGCCCTGCTCAAAGTCCCCTGCCACAGATCTTACACTCGTAGAATGTCGGCTGAGCATTTATGGTTTGGAGAATTAGGTCTCAGGTTTGAGGTTTCAGAAAGGGTGTCGAAGTTAGCGTGTATGAGGCTGGGGAAGATCGAACAAGAAAGCCACTAGAGAACGCGCATGTGCATGCATGTACCCACGGACATGCATGTCTTGAAGAAGTCGCTTTAGGAAGACTAATTGTGACAATATGATATATATTTTTGCAGTGTATGTACTGAAGCTTCGTCTTATGTTTACAGCTGCATAAACCTACATTACAGTACACAACACTATACTACACTACTTTGCATTGTATTGTGTTACATGCCGGAATGTACCGTAAACACATGCATACGTACATAATACGTACATACACGGTGTAAAAGTACGTACGTATGTAGGTATGTATGTATGTGTGTGTGTGTGTGTGCACATATGTTTAATATGAACGTATGTATGTATACATGCATGCATGCATGCATGCATGCATGCATGCATGGATGCAGGTATGCGTGTATGCATGTATGCATACAGGTAGAGCGCTGTGGATGGAGAAGCAAAAAATTGCTTGCTCAATCTCCTGCTGGGCCTCAAGGACACCGACAGAAGCTTCGAGTCAGGGCGGACCGGGCTAGTGTCCGCTTCCGTGCTTTCTTTCTTGATTGCTTGCTTGCTCGCTCCCTTCGCTCCACAGAAAGAACCGGGTGAAAAAGAAAACTGCAGCACATGTCAGTATGGACAAGATGTGGTGACCGGTGACTGAAACCAGGCCCTTCAAAGAAGCTTATTCGGTCCATACCGCTTTAGGGACTTCGACAGGACTGTTCTGGGGTACGGTAGCTCTACAGTGTCATGTGCTGTTTAATATATATATATATATATACACTATATATATCGCGGCAAAACGCTTGGACTGATAGAAACAACCCAAGAAGAATCACATCAAGCATAGAAAGCCAGCAGGTGATACGGTCTCTGTAGATCTGGAAGTTGCTGGTTTCCTTCAAGATCCGCACCTCCATGGCATTTGCTTTGGGCACAGCGATCTATCCTCACGCCGCCAGAGCAGATCGCCTCTGCAGTGAAGACTCCCTTCTCTTCCTCCTGGCGGGACAGTCTGAAGAAGGCAACCTAAAGTTTGAAGAGCGGCTAAGGAGGTTTCGGACTCATGTGAAGTTTCTGCAGCTTCGCTTCCCAGGCTTCTGCATCTCGACGCCGACAACGGCGTCTACATGAGTGCCGATCGGAAAACAGAAACTGAGCCTACATGGGTCTGAGCTGTCCCGGACCATTGCTGGGGAAGGAGCAGCTCACTACGAAAGCTTCGAGATCAATCTTCGATTGCTCACTTTGGGTACTATGGATCCCGTCTAGATCCTTAAAACCACGGTCAAAGCTTTGTTGACCAGGTAAAGAGCGCTAGGTAGCCACCAGCCTGAAAGATATGGTCTATTGCAGTATATCACAGTCTGCTACGCACAGTCTGTTCTAGTATGTTATAGTGTGTGAAATTATGTGATAGTTATAAAATCCTTATCGAAATCCAAGGCCGTGGCTTATGATCCTTTCTACTTTGCGACATCTGCTTGCAACTTTGGTCGCTGGGCCACTTGCGACAGAATGCCCAAAGCATTGGTGAAAGCGTCCCGCTCTTCCAAGGTTGGGAGCAGCAGGCACAGTTCGCTATCGCGGGTTTTCACGAGGACGGTCAGGTCCGGCTCGGTCATGGGCACGACATCCAGAATGTCACAGAGATCTGCGAGGATAGGAGCTTCGTTCCTTTGAGCTTCGATGCCTTCGATCGTCAGTCGGTCGACCTTCTTATTCAAGGAGACCTGCACATCCACGATCTCACCCGTCTCGGCGCTCAGTTTTTGGAGTCGCCGGCCATGAACCATTGCCTTGACAAAGTCTTTCACCATGCATTTGGCCTCAGCCTTCTGCACCCTGGACATCTCCTCATATTGCCAGGTATCAAACTTGGTATCCCCATCGCTGTCCTTCAAGGTTTAGGGTTTAGGGTTTAGGGTTTAGGGTTTAGGGGGTATCAAACTTGGTATCCCCATCGCTGTCCTTCAAGTTCGCCTCGTTCTCACTACGCAACGCCCGGACGGCCTTCGCCAGCTTCACCTGGGTTCTTGTTAAAGGATCTAATCTAAGCTACCATGACAGGGATCTATCGTAGATAATATAGATTCTTAATTATGGTAACTTAAGTCAAACTGGGATCTTGTTGGGGGATTCAACTTCAGTTACCACAGGAAAGAAACCCTCTTATTTACCATAGATCCTCTTTGTGGTAGCTTAAGTTACTGTAAACCCCCTTCAAGAAACCCTATGATTTACTATAGATCCTGCTTTGTAGTAACTTAAACTAAACCCCTAAACCCTAAACCCTAAACCCTATAAAACCCTAAACCCTAAACCCTAAACCCCTTAAAGAGGAGCCCCGTCACCCGCTCCAGGGCCGAGGAGAAGCCCAGCTCCTGGAGGAGCCGCGCGAAGTCGGGGGAGTCAGACTCCGGCAAGTCCTTCAGCCGGAGGTTTTGGTCCTGGCAAACCGAGGGGTTTTTAAAGTTTAGGCTTTGGGGTTTAGGGCTTAGGGTTTAGGGCTTAGGGCTTAGGGTTTAGGGCTTAGGGTTTAGGGCTTAGGCTTTAGGGCTTAGGGTTTAGGGTGTAGGGTTTAGGGACGAGTAGTACAGCGAACCCCAGAAAGTTGGAACATGGAGTTAGGAGGAGTAGTGCTAGGATCCCTTATACCAAACCTTAACGGTATGAAGACTACAATGTTCCAAAATTTCTGGCTTCTACTATACAGTCTAAACCCTCTGAGCTTGAGTCCTAGGGCCCAGATCTGAGGATGCTGTTTGAAGAAAGAGCAAGCCTTCTGAACCGGTTTGTTGTGAGAACTCCTCGCTATCTGCCATGTTCTGCATCCCATAAACCGATCATCTGCCATGTACTACATTTACTACATCCCACGCACCGTTCATGTTCGCAAAGCAGCCTTCAGTGTGGAAAGCAGCCTCTCCAGAAGCTCACTGCTCGAGCAGGCTTGCTCATGAGCCAGAGGCACTTTGGAGCGGCACTCCTCTCGTCTGACAAAGGTCGAGCGCAAAATCAGACACTAGAGTTATGATCAAAGTACTCCCAGAAAGCTGGTCTAATTGCATCACCGTGTCACCCTCTGAGGATCTGAGTGCACGACGAGCTTCAAGGTGAAAGAGGCGCAGATACACAAAGAGAGAGAGAGAGAGATGCAAAAAGCCACACACGCAAAGACAGCATACAAACATACATGCCTGCATGCATGATCATGCATGCGCACATACATACACACTCAGACACACACACACACACATACACAGACACACACGTACACAGTTCTCTGAAACCCCCATGATTCCCGTGACCTTATCAGAGCGATCCTGATGCTAGTCTATACCAGGGGTCCCCCATTCAAACACCCACACAAACAGCTGCTCTATAGAAGGCTATAAAGCCCTGTATAAGGAAACCCTATAAACTCCCTAAGCCCATACAGAGCTACTGCTTGAACCCTAAACCCTCTACCCTAACAGACATACGGCTATTGCAAGGAGAGCTTTCAACTTTCAAGCTCTATATTGATATAAAGAAACCCGATACACAGCCTATAAAGCCCCATTTCAACGAGGGATTATGTATATAGATATACATATATACACATACATACATATAACTCTATATATATGTATATATATATATACACATACTTGCATTACTCATATGTATATATATATATATGTATATACATATGTGTGTGTATACGGCTTAACTTTCAACCACCCGCCTTCGCTGCCGACTCCAGGCTGCAACATGGACCCGTGCCCATGGAAGGGGTTAGGGTCTTCTAGGGGGGCTTTTAGGGTTTAGGGTTTAGGGTTTGGGGGGCTTTTAGGGATTTGTACGGAGGGCTTTCTGGTGTTTTTCCCTAGGGTTCTTCAGGAGGGAGTACCATAAGGGTTGCAAAACGAGCTGGTGCAAGGGATCTATAACCTGGCATGGTCAAGTCCGTGGCTCACGTCTAACACAGTAGTATGCTGTAGGTATCTTGGTATATGTGTTAGGGTATAGCTATCTTGGTACCTCTGCAATGGTGCATGCATGATGGTACGTCGAAAAACTCTTCAAATGATTAAATGCAGCGTTGAAGAGCTGGCATGGGCAGCTCGACACCTGAATGCTTCTCTCGACTTTCTGCTTTGCTATTTCTTGAACCTTGGAAAGACCTGCGAACAGACCGCGCACGGAATGTGCAACGTGTGTCAGTCTCATTATTCTGGCAATTATAAGTTTGTCCTCAATATGTACTTGTCTTTCGAAAGTTGTTGTTGTGAGTCCTCTCATGTGTCAACCAGCGCGCAGAAGCAACAAATTGAGCTTGGCAGCTGCCTGCATGTCCTCAAAGGTCCAATAGCTGTGATCACCTCGCAGATTCGCTGTGCACGTGGATCTACATGGCTTTGCACATCTCACAGCTCGGGCCGAAACCAATTATCGCGAACTTGTGCGCGAATCGCCTGCACTGCAAGGTCACTTGTACATTGGCAATCAGTCTGTGTCTTTGCAATCATTCGCCAGGATATGCACTTGTCGCCTTCGATCACAACACAACTAATACTCCGACTAATGCTGAGCTAGTCGTGCTACTGTTACTATTAACTTCTAGTATTGCTGCTACTACTACTACTACTACTACTACTACTACTACCACCACCCTCGCTTCGTTGCTAAGCCTAGACTCACAAAACCCACTGGTCCACCTGCGACCAAGAGGGGCCACGGCATCAGCCCCTCTGGCTTTGCACCATTCGAGGCGCTTGTACCTTTTATCATCTACTTGGAAAGGGCTCTGAGGTCCCCGATGCTGGGGCACTCGGCGCTTGAAAGCCCAGCTTTGCACTTCAGGTTTTGAGGCTTCAGGTATGTAGTGGGTCAGTAGTGGGTCAAGAGCTAGGGCGCAACATAAGGGCCTTCATAATTAGAAGAGGGCCGTGGGGCATACCATACTCTAGTCATATGAGGAACCACAAAAAGATACGATTGCTGATTATTCCAACCCTAAACCCTAAACCCTAAACCCGACCCCCAAAACTAGAAAGAGCTATTTCAGGCCCCAAACCAAGGGCTTCGCTTTCCATCGGCTCAGTGGGCCCTCCCGGGGCACTGTCCCTGCACATGGAGACGGATCCGGTACCTGGGCTCATGGAGTTTTCGGTCGGGCTTAGGGTTTAGGGTTCAGGGTTCAGGGTTCAGGGTTAAGGGTTTAGGGTTCAGGGTTTAGGGTTTAGGGTTCAGGGTTTTTTTGTTAGGGTTCAGGGTTTGGGGTTTAGGGATAGGGTTTATGGGATCCCCCCCCCCCCCAAAAAAAACACGGAAGTTGAAGGCTCAGAGCTCAGACCCTTAAAGGCCCATCGCCAGCTGAATCCCTCCCCGCAAAGTTCAAGCCGCATAGCCCTTCTGCCGAGACCCAACACAGCCCTTTCCCATTCCTCTCTTCCCCCCCCCTGTTCTCGCATAAAACCTTTATAGAACCTTGATAAACCCGTACAACACCCTTAAGAAAAACTATAGAACCCGTATAACAGCTACATATCCCTTATGAAGCCCTTCTGAACAAGCTTCTAGTACCCTTCTCGAGTTTTTAAAACCCTGGCTGCCCCTACTCTTTCAGCCCGGAGCTTGTCACCAGGGCTGCCCTCCATGCCAGCGTTGAGATTCGCCACCTCAAGAGGGGTTTAGTTTCTTGGGGGTTAGGGTTCAGGGTTTAGGGTTTAGGGGATCGATTGGGCAGGGTCTATAATCGCTCCTTGAGGATGTTAAGAGTGTCTCTCATTTCAGAAGTTCTTGCGGGGGCGTTGAAGGGATTTCCTCGCTTCAGAACTTTTATGACTTCCGGGTGCAGAGAATTGTCTGGTGCATTGTCTTGGCGGCCTTTACTCCTGCCTTGTTAGGCTCTTTCTACGTCGGAGATAATATCCACCGTCTCAACCGCGACACTGGTCGGAATAGGGCTTGTTTCGTGAGTAAGATCTGAAGAAACTTGGGGTTGAGAATTCATGGAAGTCACGAGCAGTGGGGTGGTATCATCAGTGGCTTCGGTTGTTCCCCAGCTCTATCTGCGGGGAAGAAGACTCGAAGAAGGAGCTCAGTCGTATTTTAAGAGGATCTTGCATGCATCCATCCGAAGCATCATCGACAATGAAAGCTACAAGGCCTGATCGGCGTCTGCGGCTGCATGCAGTTCACGGACACGACTGGAACCCTGGCTAAGGCACTTCTCCTGCAACATCAGTCCAGGATGGATGGACATCTACTTTTTTTTAAGTACTAGAGACATGGCTGGCCACCAAGATAGGTACTGACCTGTGTGTGGGAAGGAGGCGTAGATCTGGGTTCCACAGAGCAGCATCAAGAACTATTGAATATATGCACCATTGTGAATATGCACCATTATCTTAGACGCTAACCTAAAGCCCTCAACCCTAAAAGCTGAGGTACCCCCTAAACCCTAAACCCTAAACTCCTAAACCCAAAAGATCCCTAAAGCTGCCTTGCCATGCAGCTACTGCGCCGTGTTGCGCTGGGGGCATGGCTGGCATCTGAGAGATGTCCCTCGGGTCAGAGACATTTTCAGGCACCTGGGGCCAAGATTTGCGGCGGGGGGGTTGAGGGTTTAGGGTTTAGTCCTGACTGCAAGGCTTGCAGTGTCGGAATCGATCGATAGATAGACAGATCGGCAGATCGATCGAGAGATAGTTAGATAGATAGGTGGGTAGACAGATAAGTGGACAGGGATATGCATATATGAGGTGCATACATGTATATCATTATATCTCTTCTGCTAATGTTCGGCTTCAAGCCCAACTGCAAGGTTGTCCACAGGAAGTTCTGAAAAACTATTCTCTCAAATCGCTGCAGTTGACTGATTGCTTCAGCAAATGCCACACGTACAGCAGAATACCATGAGCGAAGCCCGAACAAACACACACACACACACACACCAGAGTCCTAGGCCCTACGCCTAAAAACCAAAGAGTCCAAAACCCAAAAGGCCCTGTTTCAAGCCTCAGCGAACCCTATCCGTCCGGTCAGGCCACATAGTCACCGCCGAAGGCAACAATGCAATCCATGGAGTCCTGGAACTCAAGGCTTCGCGCTTAGACTTTAGGTTTCGGGTTCCGGGTTGCGGCTTTCGGGTCGAGGGACTAGCCCTCACCGAACTCGAAACGATGATCATTACGGGGGACCCAATTATATGGCTGATGGACAAAATCCTGCATGACCTTATATACCTAAACTATGGGCTTTATGGTACTATACTACATTTGGGTCATGCAGAATTTTGTCCATCAACAGTAAACCCCATGGCACCCCTTAAGAGAACCCCTCAAAAAAGAGCGCTTCAAGGAGCCCTTTAACGAGTCAAAAAAAGGATCCCGGATCCTTCAGAGCTGCTCTCCGCAGCTTGGGTTGCAAGCACTTGGCAGCTCCCCGTCCAAGCCAAGCTTCATGCAGCACGAAACCGCTACCATGCCGGCACATGTATGTATGTATGTATGTATGTATGTATGTATGTATGTATGTATGTATACATAGAGAGACAGAGAGAGAGATGCATCGATACATACATACATCGATACGTACATACATGCATACATACATACATACATACATACATTCATACATACATTCATACATACATACCCAGTACATATGTAGATACACATCTATATATATATATATACACACACATGCACACATGCACACACACACAGACCCGACCTCGCCCTCAGCGAGCGTTTTGTACTGCTCTTCGTTGATCAGCCGTGCCTCACAACCGAGGGCCCTGAGCTTTTCTTTTGGGCTTTGGGCGTGGTCCAGATTTGGATGGATGTGAAAGCAGCGGAAGCATCGCAAACAATCACCCTTTCTATGATTTGTAGGCAGCTTCTTGGGCTTCAAGTATGCGGCTGACAGATTATTGCAAAGGCTCTGCCTAAACGTCTTGAGCCCCACGCACAAGTACAAGTTGTAGAGAGGGTCCAGCAACTGACTAGTTGAGGCTGCGGTGCCAATAACATTAAAACAAGTGGCCATGAGACTTAGCATGGGGTGTCGGGGCATCTCATAGCATAACCATATTAAGGGGATCCTGCGACGACTCTGTCTCCCCAAAAGGGGCCAAAACAGTCCGAGCTATTGCAACTCGCTGGAGAAGCCCCGTGAACTCCGGAGAGATTCCCCCAAGACCCTGGGACATTTTCGGCCGCCTGGTGGCACATGCCGGAGATTCTCCATGAAAGGGCCTGCACCGGGATGATCCGTTCTTGCTTCTTAGGGGACAAGGGGGCCGGGTTTAGGGTTTAGGG